AGGGTTGCGATCCCGTGGCCGGTCCCGGTCCGGTACGGGCGCGACACTGAGGGTTGCGATCCATTGCCGGTCACGAAAAAAGACAAAAAAAAAAGGAAAAAAAAAAAAAGAACCCCATGGAAGGGACTTAATCAGGGAGCTGCTTGGTCTCATCAGCATCTAGAGACCCCGCTGGCTGCAGGGCGGAGGATGTCTCTGAGTGTGGGGGAGCTGAGTCTGGAGGCAGAGGGTGCACCTTAGAAGACAGTTGCAATAGCCCAGCAGAGGGATGGCCAGGGGGGTTTCTAGGGTGGGAGAGGGTGGGAGAGGATTGAGGACTATGTAAGAGATTAATCAGAAAACCCTGTTTTTCACTGGATATGAGGAATATAGGAGCAGATAGCCCTTAAGTGGTTCCTTGCAGAAGAATAGGTAAGATTTAGAGCTAGTGAGCTCGTGTACATAAAATATTTGGAACAAGATTGAAACATTACACTGAGGTGATGCCATTATCATACTTTTAATCCTTTGTCTGCTACACATTACCAGTGTCAATTTTTTTTGTGTGTGTGTGTGTGTGTGTGTGACCGGTAAGGGGATCACAACCTTTGGCTTGGTGTCGTCCGCACTGTAGGTGATGCCATTATCATACTTTTAATCCTTTGTCTGCTACACATTACCAGTGTCAATTTTGACCTTATCCCACCCCAATCTCGTGTTGGGGTGTTATTGGGTTTTTTTTATTGTTTGTGTTTGGCCTCCTAAGACCTCTGAACTCTTTGCCCTCTGCCTGTCTGTGTTGCAGGAGGGAGCTTTCCTATTTTGGGGTGAAGGTGGCTATAATTGAGCCTGGTTTCTTCAAGACTACTGTGATCAATAGTGAAATATTCGTACAGAACCTTAAGGAGCTGTGGGACCGCCGGGCCAGCTCAGAGGTCAAGCAGATCTATGACGAGAAGTTTGTGGCATCCTGTGAGTAAGCTTTGGACCCTTGGGAGAGAAGCAAATACTTGTTTGGTATCCTTAGTGCCTCCAGTAATATTAGAGTCCATCCTCCAGGCTCTGCCTACCCCACATAGTAGGGAGATTCAACCCCATTCCCATGGTGCTGTGTGATCAACTGGTCACCTACAACAAGGGTGCAGGCTTATGAGGACATGTGCCACTGTTTCATCCCAGCCCCTTATATTTTGAAGAACAGAGTGAAGCCAGAGGGTGAAGACACTGGTGGACTCATTCAAGCTGGCATTAGAGACAGCTGGTATTCTGTGTTAAGATTTCTAGTGTTGGCAGAGACCCCCAATTAACGCAGCCCAGATAATCCGAGGAAGAGAGGCAGAGGTGGCTTAGTGTAGAACAGTTTTTCCATGGGTAAGGGTAAGGCACTCCCCAGAAATGGATGGATTGTATTTGGGGCATGGCTTTTGGGATAGGGGACATGCCTTCTTAGTGAGTCTTTTCCCCCTACGTTGATCTTAAAGCAGGAGTGGTGTGTGGTGGAGGCATACCTGGGTTGTTTCTCATTCTGTATAGACATGAAAACAATTAAATTAAAGGAACAAAAGTGCTCACAGGATCTGTCCTTGGTGACGAACTGCATGGAGCATGCACTGACCGCCTGCCACCCCCGCACCCGATACTCAGCAGGCTGGGATGCAAAGCTTTTCTACCTCCCCATGAGCTACCTGCCCACCTTCCTGGTGGATGCCATAGTCTACTGGAATTCCCCAAGGCCAGCCAAGGTCCTGTGAAGCCAAGACTGGAGAGCATGGTGGGTGGAGTTGGAGTGTTGTGTGAGGGAGGGGAATCATCAGGGGAAGGGAAGAAGGGTGGGGGGAGCTTCATATCACCAGGGCACCTATCCTATCTTCTTCCTTTTTCCTCCAAAGGATTCTCCTGAGATACTACTCAACACTCTGGAGATATTAGGAGGAAAGAGCCAAGGAACTCTGCTGAGGAACAAAACCCAACAGCACTCTTTGGTGCTCTGTTGACTTGGGCGGCCAGTCATGGCCCTGTTCCTCCTGGCCTACCTCTCACCCCAAGGAATGCACGCAGTTGGGAGGGTGTGAGTAGAAGGAGGCTCAGCCCACACCTGCTCTGCCTCCTGCCCATCTCCTCAGGGTGTGCCTTGGCCTGGCCAGTCCACACCCTCTGTCTGAATGGAAATGGACTGGAGGAGGTGAGGGCACCCTCCTCTGAAGGTACCTCTGCCCATGGGATGAAGTGGGAAGGGAGACCACCGGTGTGACCCCTCAGGCCCCAGGCACCAGCTCAGCAGGCATTGGCTGGGAGGTAGTGTCTTCAGTAGGGATCCTGGCAGAGGACACATAAACCCTTTGTGATTTCACTTTAAACCATGCTTTTTTTTTTTTTTTTTTTTGGCTTATTTTTGTTTTGGAATAAAAGCTGAAAAATTCACGCATGCACAGTGATTTCAACTATGTCCTTGGGGAATGGCGGCATTCAGCCTATGGAGGAAGAGACAGGTGTTTTCATGGAGGTCATGGGATGAGAGGAATGACTTGAGAAAGGATTTGAAAAGGGAAGTTGGATTTTCCCTGCCCTCTCACAGCCATTCCTGCCACAGAAGTGAGGAGAATTGTTTCCTTTCCAGGATATATCAGGGAGCCTGGGGTCACAGGCTTAGACACGGGGATGGACAAACAGAAGTTGATGAGGGAGAGATAGAGTCCCACATGCCTGCCCTGGTGGACGTCAAGTCTTTCTTCCCTCACCAGCCACCTCCCTGTGGCCCTCAGCCACTGTCTCCTCTTTTAGTCATTGCACTTGCAAGCCCTGCCATCCCTCAGGACTCCAGAGCCAGATCCCCTCCCTGCAACAACCTTCCAGTGGCATGGAGTGAGAGTCCCTTCTGGACCCCAGTCTTCCATTTTCTGCTAACCTGTATTGAGCACTTACTGTTTGCTGGGGAAGAATCCGTTGGAATTTCCCAGTGCTTCCTGCGACCTAGCTATGAATGTCATCAGTATTCTGATGATGTTCTCAAATGTGGACTCAAGAGAAAGCATTTGCACAAATTGGTATAGATTTTGAGGCTATGTACAAATTGGAGTCAGGAGCTACCTCCCCAGGTCTTATGGGTCACATGTGACCCCCAAAAGATCATGTACTGGAGAAATGATTTCCATTGTAACAGTGTTAAGAGGTAGCGAAATCCAATTATGATATTTTAAAGGTGGGGTCTTTGAGAGGTGATTGGATCATGAGGACTGTGCCCTCATGAAATGATTAATTCATTTATGAAAAAGAGTTATCATGGACATGGGTCTGATGACTTTATAAAGAGAGTGAGCGACATTACCTCTCTGGCTCAGCGCATTGTTGCCACACGATCCCCCTGGGTTGCTGTAGAGAGTTGCTCCTCCAGGAAGAAGGCCCTCACCAGATGCACCCCATGGACCATTGACTTTCCTGTTGCCAAGACTGTAAGAAATAAATTCTATTTCTTTATAAGTTACCCAGTTTCAAGTATTCAGTTATAAGCAACAATAACAGACTAATACTTAAGTATCTTAGTTTTTTTCCCCTTAGTAAAAAAATCGAGGATATAGAGCTTTTCAGGAAACTTGTGCTGTTAAACAAGTGAGCAATTGTTATGGTAACAGAGAGTGAGATCAGATTCATTGGAAAAAATGAGGTAAGTGTTTGGTGTTGGGCTTGTCAGTGCTGAAAATACAAGGATTGCAGGAAGTGCCCTCAAGAAGCTTGGATCCTTCAAAGGTCTAGTGTCAATCCACTGAGCAGCAGCAATCATGTTGCCCCACCCCAAAGTACAGGAAGAGCTTCCTATTCAATCTGAAGCCTCCAGACTTTTATAAGACCAGACACACACACACACACACAAACACAAACTAAATCGACATAAAAATTTACCCATTCACTGTATAGCCTTGAGGGGTAGGTGTGTTCAGGAGGTGTGGACTCATACCCAGAAGTCTGCTCCAGAGTGTCAGAGAGCTGTGAGTGCACAAACCCCTGGCTCCCCTTTGCTGGCTCCACCCTGGATCTTTGGCCAAAAGCATAAACTGTGAATAAAAAAGTGTGTAGTCACTCCAGAACAACAATGGCCGCATAAAGAAGTCCAATGTACTTACTGGACAGTCGCCAAAAAAAACCCCACAAACAGTACTCCAGTGTAAACGAGTCCAAGTCCTTACTCTGGATCCCTTCCTCCTCCTTCCAGGATTCTTTCCTAAAAGAGAGAGTCAGGTCCAGTAGGATACTCTGGAGCCCAATCCCACCACAGTCCCTGTGGTGCCACAAGAAGCTGCTCTGACTCCTTCCCTTAGCTGTCCTGGCCATTTTAGAGGAGCACAGCATCCTTGAGTCCCACCTACACCTCTCATCCCCTCCAATCGCAGATCTTGAGCACCTGCAGGGCACGGGTGTCTCGTCATTTCTGGGTCCCCACCCCAGGTTTAGTAGGGGCTGCCTGTCTGTGGGACTGGAAACCACTTTGCACAATGAACCCCCAGTTCCTGCCATTTCCAGCTCTGCTTTTCATTTCCTACACCTCCTCATCTTCGCAAGACCCAAGCTGGCTAGAGAAGGGGCTATAGGTGGCATCAACCTGAGATGGAGAGAGTGGTCACCATGGGGCTAAGCTGGACTGGGCCTGCTGAGACTCTGCAAAGCACCACCAGGGGACACATGTATGCCGGAGAGTGCAGGAGCTGAGATGCACCGCCTTCCAGCCTGGCCAATGTCTCCCTCCCCAGGACGCACATGGGGTCAGCACATCTGGTTGTCCTGTGCAGCAGTCACAGTGGAGGAACTGGGGGAGAGAGTGAGTCTTCACAGGGGAGTCGCCTCTGAAGGCCTTGTCCTTCTGCCCTGCAGCTCCAGGCAAGGGAGTTTCCCTCCCTTAACCAGGTTTGGTGCCAGGACTAGGATTTGCATGTTCCCTCTGCTGCTGAGAATTTCTTGCACTCCATTCTTCCTCCTCAGCCTTCTTCCTCACCCATCACTGCCCATAAAGTGGGTCCTGGCAGCCACCCCAGAAGCAGAGAGAGGCTCGATTCTGAGAGACAAATGGTTCCAGGACTGCATCAGCTGCGTGCTGATAACATCTACTCCTTTAGGCAGAGCTGGAAGGTGTGCACCTGTCCATTCTTCCTGTCTTCTCGGGTGGGTCAGGATTGCATTTGACCCTCTGGTTTCTTAGGGAAATCTCTCCTTCCCTTCCCATTCAATTTCCTTGCCTCCCCTTCGTTAAGGGACAGACCTTCGGGAAGTGTGGACAGTGGGGGCCACCCAGAGCAGTGAAGCCCAGGCTTCTTCTGTCCCTCCCTCCCACCCCAGCTCCTGCCCATCTTCCTTCACCTCTGTTAGGAAATGCTGTCTCCACCTCACCCTGAAAGGCCCTGCATGGAGCTGCTTCTCCCTCCTGTCCATCAGCACCCTGGTCCATGCTGAACACATGCATCCCATTCCATAATCATTTCCAGGTATTGGGGTTCGAGCCTTCCACGCTGGAGTGTGGTTTAGGACCCCCCACCACCACCCATGTCGTTGTTGGACTGAGTCTCTTCTGCTTTTATACTCTGAGTGTCTGAGGGGTCCAGATTCTGGATGTGTGACCAGGCAGGGGAGGGCCCAGAACTGGAGGGCAGAGGGCAGTGTCATCAGCCACCAGGGCTGGGGAAAGGGCACAGCAGGAGGAGAAAGGGGAAAAACTGTTACATCTGCTTCATGTAAGTCATTCCATTCCTGCCTCCTGGCAACTCTGGGGCTTTCATTTGTGAGGGTTCCCAGACCCATGCCCTCTTCCCCTTTCTCAGAGGGAGGTGAGACTCCTGTCTGGCAACAGATCGCAACCCTCAGTGTCACGCCCGTACCGGACCGGGACCGGCAACGGGATCGCAAACCTCGGTGCTGCGCCCGCACCTCGCTCAGCCAGTGAGCGGGAACCGGTCTGTATGTGGGATCCGAACCCTGGGCGGGAGCGCCGCCGCGCTCCCAAGTGGCACACTGTAGCAGTGCGCCACCGGGCCGGCCCCTTGACTCAAAGTGTATCTTCTGGTAAGAATCTTCTGCTGGTCAGGGAGACCAGGGTCCAGGACTTCAGTAGGAAAAAGGTAAGTAAGACAGCTCTGAACCATGACACTTAGGTAGGGAGGGCTCCAGTGTGTGTGTGTGGGGGGGGGTAGATTGCAGTGGAGGGGATCAGTGAGGAGATGGTGTAGCAGGAGAAGGTGGGTGACAAAAGTGTCCTCATGTCAAGGTGTTGTTTGGCAATCTAATGGCATCTACTAGAAATGCTGTGAGTAGAGAACAAGAAGACACTTGAGGACTGCATGCCAGGGTGCCTGGAGGCTGGCCCGCCTCCCACAGCCCTCTGTGCTCTTAAGTCCTCCTGTCTGAACAGGGGCCAGACTCTTGTTTCACCCCAGCCTGCTATGTCTGTCCTCTGCAAAGCCATGTGGCTGTACCTGGCGGCCCTGGTGGGCCTGTGCTACCTTCTGCACTGGTACCGGGAGAGACAGGTGGTGAGCCACCTCCCAGACAAGTTCGTCTTCATCACGGGCTGTGACTCGGGCTTCGGGAGCCTGCTGGCCAGACAGCTGGACATGCGAGGCTTGAGGGTGCTGGCTGCATGTCTGACGGAGAAGGGGGCCGAGGAGCTGAGGGGGCAAACGTCAGACAAGCTGGAGGCAGTGACCCTGGATGTCACCAAGACCGAGAGCATCACTGCTGCTGCCCAGTATGTGAAGGAGCATGTGGGGGACAGAGGTACCACCAGGACTCCTCATGTCTGTTTGTTTCTTTACTCCATCTAAAAGGGGCATCTCCTGTCTGCTCCCTGGGAAGATTCCTAGAGTGTTTTGGGGGGCTTGATGCAATAGTATTATCTGTACCTCTCAGCCCTCATGCTAGCCTGAGCCCCTTATCTTTTCAATCCCTCCACCTCTTGTCCCCGGAGCTCTCTAGTCCTGGTGAGAGGTTGCCCTGATGAGTGTTTGCCCTGCAGAGTTCCTTCCTGTCCTCTCCCTCCTTTCTGAGCAGAAGTTCTGGTTTGCTTGATGCTGAGTGTTGGGTTAGAGATGGGGCCAGCCTTCTGGAGGTGGGTAGGGACTGGGCCCTGGGCTGTGGGCTTGCCTGGGTAGCTGGGGGCCCTGTGGTTGCTGGGCTCATGTTCTCAGCACGTTCACTTGTCCACTGGGAGAGTTAAGATCATCTCCACTTTCAGAGGAGGACAAGAGGTTAAGGACTGACTTCGGAAGTCAAAACTAACGAGTCATTTTTTCTGTATTTATTTAATCACTACATTATTCTTTGTCTAATTATGGTGAAATAACATTGATTTCTTTGTTGAAGAGTAAATGTAAAATATACTTATTGGTGAAAATACTGGAATGT